GGGGGGCTCCTGTCCACGCTAGGTCTGGGCTGGGTGGGGGCGGCTCGAGGGCCACCAGCCCTCCTGCCTGCCTCTGGCGTCTCCAGGGCAGCACGGTCCCCAGCGCCATCCTCTTTGCTCCACCTCAGCTCCCGAGGGTGCCCAGGCCTGACAGCCACCGCCTGTGCCCTCCCCGTCCCCGAGCGCTGCGTGCGCGTCCTGTGATCGGTGATTGGCCAAGGAGCCCCAGGAAGGGAGCGGCTCTGTGTTATTCACTGCAGTGTCTCTGTTTCCGAAATGGTGCCTGGGTTATGGTAAGTGCCCAGTAAATGTCTGTTAAATAAATAAACGAGCTTTTCAAGAAGGGCAAATGGCAAAGTGCGGATTGGGTGAAACACAGATTCACATATGAACGTTTGAGCAAAAACAAGTCTCAGCCGCTCACCTCAGGTCTGGTGACTGGGGGGTTACTCAGGACACGGGGCACCCAGCGGGGAAGCCACCCTCCCCTGGGGCCCCGCGGTGTGGCCTCCCCTGCCTCAGCATCCTGCCGACGGAGCCCACTCCTCTGTGCCCTCCAGCTCGGCCCTCAGACACACCGCCACCTTCTCGCCACTTTTCCCCACTGCGCAACACGGACCAATCCAGGGGCATCGTCCGTCTCAGCTGAAGGTCTTGCCACTTCCGTCTGGACACCAGAGAAGTCGTAAACAGGTTTTTCCATGGCGAAGGTAAGCATAATTTTTCATTCCCTTCCAGGTAATAACTAATGGGGAGGCCCTCCTTCACTTACAGAAACAAAAGGAAAAGAAAGGGCTTCCTAGTGACAAGACAATTTGTCAGAAAGTCATGAGCGAGCACCAGCAGGGCTGCATAGGAAGTGCGTATCGAGCAACACGACACACCGGCTTCTAATTGCTGCTGCCTTTCTGATCAATAATACATGTTTTCAAAAAGCCTTCTGTTTGCATTTACACAATGGACTGTAACTACTGCAAAGATCCATTAAGACCTATTTTAAAAAGTGCGTCCGTAAAAAGTTGTCTAAATCTGCATTGCAAGGCAGATTATGAAACTGCCTTGGGAGACGTTTGGTCTAAAAAGCATTCAGGCCATATCTGCCGGACATGCCAACCCAGGCTCCTCCTGTCCCCGTGCCCTGAGCCGGGAAGGCCTTCTCCGTGGCTCCGACTGATGCAGGCACGGCCAGGCCCGAGGCCCCACCCCACGCCAGCCAGCCTCTAGCCAGCAATGCCCTCGGTCTGGGGACACCTGGTGTGAGCAGAGCCCCCGGGAGAGCAGACATCACTCAACCCACCACTCCCCAGCGTGCGATTACAGATCCGTGCGGCAGAGAGGGCTCTGGGGTTCTGGGGCTTCCAGCGCTGAGGAGGCTGCGGGTCGTGTGGGCAGAGCTTGCAGTCTGTGGCTAAGCCGGGACAGTGGAAGACAGGTGTGGGCTTGGGCAGACCACCAGCCCCACACAGCACCCAGGGGCGAGTTGTCACCGTGCATGTGGGAAGCCCAGAGCAGAGGGAAGCAGACCATTTGGGTACAGGGGCCACCTGGCTCTCTGTGCCACCTTAGCACCATCACCACTTTGGCCTCTTGGCCTCGGCTTCTGTAGCTGATGGGAAGAAAGGACAACAGTGGCAGGCCACCCTGCCTGCGAGGGCCCCGGGCTGAAGGTTCCCCATTGACCGACTGGCTTGATGCCCAGGCATCCTGGGCGAGAAGGAACTCTGCTTTCCCTCTGAGGCCCACAGTCTCTGGGTAACACGCCATGACTGCACGGACAAGAGACGCAGCTGGAACACAGCCAGAAACCCCTGCAGCCTCCCCACCAGGCCGCTGCCCCAGGCCCCCACCTAGACAGCTTCCCGCAGGAGAGAGAACCCAGAAGAGCAGCAGGAAAAGGCCCTTTGTCTGCCGAGCCCACCGAGGCACCGCTGGGCTTTATCTTCAGAACCACACTGCTAGGCAGGTCCCGTGTTTTTATTTCCAAGTTACAGATGAAGAAACTGAGGCCCAGAAAGCACTACAGAAGCTGCTGAGTGACGTTCTACCCTTGTTCTTGTGCTGGGTGAAAGGAATGGGGACAGCTTCCTCCAAGAGAAGCTGAGCCCACACTGCTGGCCTCCGCGGCACTGCTGGACACACCCACGCCACGCTGGGTCCGTGGGCCCAGTGCGCACTGCCCACCTCCTGCCCCAGCCGCAGCTCCTCCCGCCTGCAAGCCTGCGCGGCGCGGTTCCGTCTCCATCCATGCTGGCTTGGCCTCCCCCCTCCTTTCCATGCTGTGTTTGGTGCTTTGGGGCCGGACCAGTGCGGCTTCAGATAGCCCTCCCCCGCGCCGAAGCAGTGAATAACCTTCGAGTTCCCACTACCTGCAGGGAGAAGGTGTGAGCCACCTGCCCACCGAGCTCCTGACCCTGTGCCAGGGAAGGGCCTCAAAAACACCATCTTAGTCATTCCTATCAGCACAGCAGGAAATGCTATTCCAGCCCCCATTTGACAGATGACAAAACTGAGGCTCGGAGGTAAGGTCACTTGTGTGACGTCCACAAGAATACAAGTGGCAAAATTCAAGTTCAGGTCTGATCACTCCAAAGCATCAGAACCTCTCGAGGAACATTTTTTTGATGTGGTTGTTATGGAGGTGGGCCCAGGAGTCTGCGCATTTGTAAAAGCTTCCCTGGCGATTCTCCAAGGGGACGTGCAGGCAGGGTGGGGCGCCCCAGCCACACTGTGATGCACACTCCTCCAGCTCCAAGAGAGCCGCACCTCTCAGCAGCGTGGTGGGACAAGAGTGCCTGAGCCCAGGCCCAGAGAGGCCTGCCCAAGACAACGGCAGTGACCTCGCGAGCGTTTCCCGTGTGCCTGGCGCCAGGCTCCACCCTCGCGTGTACGACCTTTTTTGTCTTCACCCTTTCGGGAGGGAGATGTTTACTGCTGGGGAAACTGAGGCTCATGTGTATGCATGTGTGCATGTACGCATGTGTACAGGGGTACACAGGTGAGGTCTCCCAAACCTGTTTCCAAGGAGAAGGCAATACCCCCACCACGGTGCCAGGTGTCTGCTCAGGACCCCCAAGGGTGGGGGTGGGGAGAGAGGGCGGAAGGGCCTGAGGGAGGCCAGGCAGGAGTGCAGCCACAGATGGGCCCTTGAGATGGTCACGCAGAGCCCAGCCAGACGTCCAACCTGTCCAGTGTCAGCTGCGTCCTGGCCAGGGTGGTCCCTGGGAGGTGTGGGGTGGGGCTGGCTGGAAGAGCGGGCCTATTCAGGCCCACCCCTTTCCCTCTTCATTCTCCTAGGAAGAAGTCCGCAGGAGCTTGCTTGTAGCCAAAAAGATCCCCCAGCCCCTCCCTTCCTACTAGGCCCCTTCCCTGGGCATAGGCCTGAGTGTGCAGTGCGGGTAGCCACTGGCACCAGAAATGGGGCCCGTCTGCACCCAAGGGAGCCCCCACAGCCAACTCCAGCTCCATAAACCCTGGGAGGTGTGGCAGTCAGCAGGGTCCAGTGGCCCTGGGTTGCTCTCCTGGGCTGGCAGGCCAGCGCCCCAGCCCCCGCCCTTCAGCAGCCCTGCTGTGGACATCTCTGTTGGCCAAATGCAAGCCAGCCTGTCTTGGCAGCTCCTTCTGCTGCCGGAGAGGGTGACTTCACTTTGACTTCATATCTGCAGAGTGAGGTGCGCATGGCTTACTCACAGCCCTGCGCTCGGCCAGGCAAGGGGGCGGGGTTCCGCACACAGCGGAAAGAGGAGCGGCTGTCCCACGGGGACCCCAAGCCCAGGTTCCTGGACCCTCCCACACCAAGGCCCCATGGGCTTTAATTCCTCCATCCCTCTGAACCTAGGCAGAGGCCAGACCTCAAAAGGCAGCTCGGGGGTGGGGAGAGAACAGAGGCCTAGAACTGTCATCCAACCTGACCCAGGACTCCCTATTACAGCTGCAGAGGCCACCTCTTTTTAGGGGTGAATGTGTTAATAGGCATCATTCTTTGCGGGAAAATTAGATTCCTTGAGGCTCCAGTTCCTCCCTGCTACTCGCTCTCCTACCTTGTCAGACATCCTAAGAGTTCTCCTGTTTGGAAGCAGAAAAGGCACCCGCCCCCCAAGCACCCCATTAGGCCAGCACCCCGTCTCTTCCAAAGGTGGGCCCAGGAGCCAGTTTTCTGTTCCCACTGGTTGGACCAGGACTAGAGGGAGGAAATCGCAAACTGGCCCTACGGGACGCCCGCGCTCTCCACCAGCGCGCACTGTAGGCCACAAGCTGGGCTCGCCCCAGAAGGACGCGGAAAGCTCTCCTGCCCCGTCCCCAGCCCGGCTCGTCCCCTCCTCCAGCCTCTGGGCCCCGCAAAGGCCGCGCCCCCACCGCGCCTCCCGCTCTGAGAAATGGCGGAGGGTGCGCTCGGTGCGGAGAGCCTGGAGGCGGGGCGGCCTCCTCCGAGCGCGCTCGGTCGCACCCCTAGCCCCCCCTCGCATCCCGGCCTGGCTTCTCTGCCCCCTCTATGCAGCGGAAAGGGCGAAACGCAGGGGCCGCAAGCGCGCGCGGGGTGAGCGAGAGTGGCCGGGCGTGCAGAGGTGCGCGGACCCCCGCGCCCGCCCGGCCCGCACCCCGCTCCTACCCGCGCCCGCCCGGCCGCACCCAGCTTTCGCACGCCCCTCCGACCCGTGCCCCTCCCGGCCCGCAGCGCGCGTCCCGCACCCGTCTCCTGCCCGCGCCCCGCGCAGCCCGGGCGGGTGCCCAGAGCCCCGCCCCTACCCGCACCCCGCCCGCACCCTGGTCCCGCCCCCCGCGCCGCCCCGCCCCGCCCCTGCCCGCTGCTCCGTCGCGGACGGCGCTCGCCCAGCCTCAGTCCCGCCACCAAGCAGGGCGCGCGGCAGCGCAGGGCGCCGGGAGCCCGCAGCTACCGCCGCGCTCCGAGCGGGCATGGGCAGCCCGGCTGAGCCGGCCCCCGCCGCCGAGATCCGCCGGCCCGCGCCGCCCTCGCTCTAGCCGCGGCCCGGCGCGCACGGGCGATGGCGAAGGCGACGTCCGGAGCCGCGGGGCTGCGGCTGCTGCTGCTGCTGCCGCTGCTCGGCGAAGGTGAGTCCCGGCGTCTGGCGCTTCCCGCAGCGGCCGGGGCGAAGTTGGCGCCGCGCGCGGAGCGGCGAAGCGGACGCGTTCGGAAACGCCTTTCCGCTCGTGGTGGGCAGCGGGCTGCGCCCTCGCCGGCCGCTCTGCTCCGGCTGCGAGCGAAGCGGGCGCCCGGCCTCGGGCTGCGCGGGTCTCCGGCGGGAGCGGGACGCGAGCCGGGGCGGCGGTCGGTGCCCGGTGCCCGCGCCGCAGCCGCGCGTCCCGACCTGGCTGCGCCCGCGCGAAAGCCGCGTCCTGGCGCGAACGGGACGGCGTTTCGGTGCAGGCGCGGGCGGGCGGGTCGGGCAGCCCCAGAAAGCCCGCGACTTGCGCGGGGAGTTCTGTTTCTGCAGAAGTCTGCTCGGTCCTGGTTTCCTTCTCGTGCCCCACGTCCGTGCGTTCCTGCTCCGGCCCTGCCGCCCCGGCCGGCCCAGGGGTGCGGAGGCTCCTTTATAAACGGCTGCTTTTCCCTGTGCTTTTCGGCCGCCCTGGTCCTTAAACACCTGAAAGCCTGTGGTTTCCGAAGGGGCTTCCCTTGAGGGTCCGCCGCGGTGCAGCCGCCCCGCAGCCGTGGAGTGGGGGCCACCGCCCGGCAGGGCCCTGAAGATGCGGCCTTTGAGCCACAGGCCGGCTCAGGGCCAACATTTACTGGGCGCTTTTGACCAGGCTGGGCTCAGGAAAGGGGGGCGTGTGTGCCGCCTCGTGAAGTCGCAGGCGCTGCGGGGTCGCAGCGTTAGGTGTGGCCCAGCAAAGACTGGTCGCCGCCCCCACCCAAACCCTCACGGAGTGAGCCTCAAACCTGGAGAATCTTTGACCCTTTTGGCTGCGCACTGAAACCGGCCCTGACTTGGTCTCCTCCAGTACTTCTGTATCAACCAAGTTTCCCTTTGAGAGGGAGGGAGCTCTGGCCACCCTCCCCCACTCCCTACAAAGGACTGTATCTCCCTGGAGCCTTTGGTAGCAGAAGAGGCCGTGATCACCCTGCCTCTAGCCCCAAGTCCTGCGCAGACTGAGTTCACGGGCCTGGCTGTGTGACTGGCTCCCAGCTCGGCATACAGAGGCCAGAATGGGTCCCCAGTGCATCTCAGGGGCAGGGAGAAGCCCTTGCCTTCCCGCCCGGAAGAATGGGGATGGGGAGTCTGTGCCCATTGTTGGAACTCTGGGGTCACGGTGCTGCAGGGGAGGACACAGGGCAGAGGTAAGCAAGGTGTTCTGAAGCTCTCCTGGGACTCTGGGTAGCAACTTTGTAGTCGTGGGCATGTGGTCAGGTTGAGCCAGAATTCTGCCCGTGTGCTGGGCAGCGGGGCTTGGTCCCACGCCCTCCCATAGCTTCGTGCTTAGCCTGGCTGCCCGGGCTCCTGGGGCCAGCCTGTGGCACTTGGTGGCAATGCAGGTAGCTTTCCCTGCCCAGACCCCTGGCCCACAGAGTCTGGTGGCTGCAGACAGCCTCCCCAGTCTAGAGAACGTGAGCCCCCGGTCCCCTGGGACGGCCAGGAAACCACAGTTGGTGGCGCTGGGAGTGGAGAAGCAGCCCCACACCCAGGAGGAGACCGCCGGGGTCTTCGGAAAGGCCTAGGGGGCTCTTCACCAGCAGCAGCGACCTGGAGCTGCCCAGCTTCCATGAGCTGTCACCAGTGAGCTCTGGGCAGTCTCCCCTGACCCACCCGGTGGGGACAGCCGGCCTCAGGCGCCCTCTTGCGGATGCAGCGCTCTAGTGGCTGGGCCTGTTGGGGGGTGGTTGGGGGTGGGATGGGCAGAGTCTCTGGGGATGAGGGTCCTTCCCCGGCTCACACACTCACGCCCTGTCATCGCCAAGACACACTCCTGCCCTTTCTCCCGGAGACGTGCTCACGAGGCTGCGGACACACATGCTCCTACAGCGTGACCTGGCTTCTTCGCACTGCACCCTCACCCAGGTGTCCACAGAAGCCCCAGCCCTCCTCTGACCACTCACACACACACGGGGACCCCACATGTACACACAGGGACATATGCCCCAGGTATCTTGGAACCAGAGCTAGAAAACCTCCATCCAAAAGTCGTACTTAGAAGTTCCTGACACCTCACAGCTCAGCACAGGCACGGCTACCCCCATTGCAGGGATGGGGAAACTGAGTCCCAGCATCTGGGGCTCCCCCTGCAGGTGTCAGGCTGGCCGGCAGCTCATCCCCCAGGCTTGGCTTCTTGGGTCCTGCTTTCCTCAGCACCTCCAGCTGCAAGGACGGCCCAGTCCACAGAGGCCCGTGGACCCCAGGACCTTCTGCTCCCAGCACCAAAGAGCCAGGCACCATGACATGGCAGGGCCCTGTCCCCAGGGTGCCAGGCGGCCCCTCTGTGGAGCACCTGGGTGGTCCCCCTCTCTGTGCACCTCCAGGTGCCAGAGCAGGCACCTAGGGCCAGGGGGAACATGGCTCCACCTACTTCTTTTCTCTTTTGCCCCCTCCCCTCTTTGGCCAGGGGCCAGTGGAAGGCTTGTTCTGCCTCCTCACTCCCTGGGCCTCCCGCCTTCTCCACTCCAGCCCTCTGAGCCCCTCTGGCCTTTAGGGGCAGCCCTCACCCCTCACTCGGGGGCTGGGCCAGCTGGGAGGCACCCGAGTGTGGGGCCCATGAGCAGGGAACAAATGGGGAAGTTTACGGAGCCGCCTTTATTCTACAGAACTGCTTTAGGGACAGGCTAAGTAGATCACTGTTTCCTCGGTGATGTGGACAAAGTGGGATGCGTTCACCTAATGGGGAGCTAATGGCCTTTTAGCCAGGGGAGGAGACAATGAATTAAAAGTTGTGATATCTGTTAAAATGGAGCCTGGGGTGCCAAGGGGAAGGGAGGGCCGGAAGCCACAATCTCCCCTGAGGCCTTCCCCCTCTGCGGCCTGACAGAGGACCCTCTAAGTCCCCCTGTCTTGACTAGATAAGGCTGATTACCAGCAATAGCCACCCCACGGGGACCTCACAGCATGCTGGTCCTGCGCTTCGAGCTGCATGTTTGCTAGCTCACTTTATCCTCCCCCAAAGCCTGCAAGGGTCGTGGCCTTGTTTGCCCATTTCACAGGTGAAGAAACTGAGGCTCCCATAGGAGCTGGTGGAGAGGACTTAGGAACTCCCCACCCTTGGTCCTCTGACTTTCTGCCAGCCCCTTCTCTGGGCCAGTGGTGGCAGATAGCAGGGCTGGGGCTGAGGCGGGGTCCCAGGAGAGGGAAGTGGCCCTGAGCCCACCTACCCACCGGCGAGTCACTCACCTCGGGCTCCAGGTGCTCTGAGGACAGCCTGGCCCAGGTACAGGAGTGACGTGTGGCACTGTGCTCAGACGCCTGAAACAGGAGCCCCTCTGGGTCTCAGCTGGTTCCTTGGGCAGGACCTTTGCTTTGGCTGATGTTTGGGAGTCCAGTGGGTCTGGGGCCAGCACAGGCACGGCCCTTTCAGAGGTGGCCTCGGGGAAGGACCCTGTGTGCTGCGGGTGTGGCAGGAAGACATCTCTGTGCTGCTGGTGGTGCAGCGTGCGGCCAGCACGCCCAGGAAGTGGCCCTTGCACCCAGCCTCTGCCTGGGGACCTGCATCTGACAGAAGCTACTGTGCTGAGCGGAAGGGGTGCAGGGGTGGGAAGGCTGGGTGTCAGGGACGTGGGTGCCCATGTGTGTCCTTGGCCTCCCTAGTGCCCCAGGACCGGCTGGGAGAAGAAAGCCCTCAGTCGGGTGTCCAGGGAAATAGGGCCGAGCCGGAGGGGCAGCCCAGCCCTCCCGCCAGCCCAGCCTCCGTCTGCGGAGGTGGCCACGTCTCCGCTGCGGAGCCCGCTTCCCGGCTGGTGCTGTGCTGCCCTCCGCCCAGCTGCAGCCGCCCCCCCGTAGTGTTTTCCATGTGAGGGACTTAACGCTAACAATAATAGTAACAGTCAGCGGCCCCATACACTCCTGAGGGAGGCTCAGCTCTGCCCTGGGCGTTTCTGGGGCTGGTGGTGCCCTTGGGGTGGTCACTCCTCTCACGCGTGTGTCTGTGGGGGGATGGTGTCAGCTGGGGCAGGGTGGGAGGGGCAGCGGGCCACCAGGCGGGGAGCGCTCCCTGACCCCGGCTGCAGGGGAGGGGACGGCAGTTGGCCCATCTCTCCCTGCCCATCTGCGCCTGGGTCTGGGGTCTTTGGCCCCTGGGAGGCTGTGAGGTCAGTGTGACTCAGGTCAAGCTCACGGAGTCCCGCAGGACCGGGACAGGACGCTGCTCCTGTGGGCACTGCAGCCCTGGGCGGGCGGGGAGGGTCCTGGAGTCTGCCCGGCCCCCCCCACCGTGCGGCAGCCAGGGCCGTGCAGGGGAGAGGGAGGCAGTGCTGTGCCCCGAGGCAGGGCTTCGCCTCCCCCAGAGGGCCTTGGCCTGGGCCTCCTCCTGCCTTCCGCCTCGCCTCATCCCCACTGTCCACCTTCCCCGAGCTCTGGGGCCGGGCCGGGTCACGTGGGTGGGCTCTGGACCTCCATCAAGCTCTGGCTTCACAGCTGTGTGATTGTGGGGTGCCTCAGGGACGCCCCTCCCCTCTGCCCCGAGGCTGGAGGCTGTGAAGCCAGCGGACCCCTGAGCGGTCCACTCTGAGACCCTGGGCGAGGCAGGGGTGGGGCGAGAGGAGCAGCTGGGCACTGTTGTTCCTTTAGCTCCTCCGGCTGGGGCTTGTGCCCCCCAGAGAGCCTGGTTGTGGGGCAGGTGATGCCGCTGGGACCTCGAGGGCGGCAGTTCAGGCAGCACCTGGGCCTTGGAGAGAGCAGGTGGCCAGCCCTGAGCAAACACCTCTGTTTGCTTTTGCCTCATGGGTGGCTCCACAAGGTACAGCAGCCCAGGCACCAGCACAGAAAGGTCACCTGTGTATCTGGACAGGTGTGTGCCCACCTGCCTGGTGGGCTGGCTGACGCAGGCTTTCCTGCTTGATACCAGCAATACCTGGAGGGGCTGGGGCTGGGACCTGGCCAGGATTCCTGCGGTCCTGGGGGACCCAAGCGCCCTTCCAGATTCAGGCGCTGCCCTCTGCTCCTCTGCGACTGAGGCTGGCGTCTGGGTTCTGCAGAAGTCCGGGGCTCCAGAGAGGTGCCTGAGGGGCAGTGTGGCCCTGGAGCCGCAGGTAGGGGAGGCAGGCGGTGGTCATCAAGACCGTTGTCCTTCCCGCATGTGCCTCTGTGACTCCAGAAAATTCTCACCTTTGGGTTCCAGAAAGGGAAGAAGGAAAAATGTAGTTTCCTAAAATTTCAGTGATGATCTGGGAAGTGCGGGGGCAGATGTGTGCTCTGGCTGCCAGTCCCCGAGGGCGGCCGA